GGGAAGTACTAGAGCATATTGATTAAAGAACATGGGTTCCAATGTCAGACTGCCTGGATTCAAATGATTCAAATGATGGCTCTGGCTTGTGACCTTGGACTAGTTAACCCCAATACATTTTGTAGATGAAGAAAGTAAGGTGCAAAGAGGCTGAGGAACTGGTCCAGGTTCACAAGCTAGTAAGTGCCTTAGATAACTCATCTCCAAATTGAGGATAAATAACAGTATCTACGCAGTCAGCTGCTAACTGAAAGATCAGCAGTTCAAACCCACCCATGGGCTCCAATGGAGAAAAGACTTGATAATCTGCTCCCATAAAAATATCAGCATTGAAAACTGTAAGGGGCGGTTCTACTCTGCCTGCTGGGTCGCTATGAGTCAGAATTAACTCATCAGCACACAGTGACAACAACCTCATAGGCTCGTAGTGGGGAATGAATATGAAAAAATAGATATGTACAGCAGTGCCTGGCACATAGTAATTGGGGCCTAGAGAGAGGAAAGGTTTTGGCTCAGGTCGCACAGTAATTTAGTGATAATCTGGCTAGGACTTTTCCTTTGATAACTTGCAAGGACTTAATCATACAAGGTGCCAGAGGATGCAAATTGTAACAGCAAATAAGGAAAAGGGTGAAACATTTCTTTGTTACAGTGCTTTTTAATCCAAGGTGGTGAGAGTGTAGTTTGAAAAAACATATACTATGTTCTTTAAATTTATTTTTTTAAAAAAATACCTTGTTGCTTTCAGAATACTATCTACTTAAAGAAAAGTAAGATGGAATCCTTTTGGCTGATGGAGCATGAGTTCAAAGGAGTTCAGAAACCCTGCTGTGCACTGTGAGGAGCTCTGGGAGGGCTGGAGAGGAGGAGAAAGAAGTTCACCCCTGGGGACTCCTCATATTTCCTGCTGGAATCTACTTGCAAAGTCCACACCTTTCTGCAGGGGCTTGGAATCCCCTGATCCGATCCCAGTTAGGCTGTGGTTTTGGCCACATATGGATCCCCTCCCCCCCCACATATATGCATGTATGTACATCATCACATACAATAATGGGCCCACGGCAACAGTGGGAGGGGACAGCATCCCAGGCGCAGGATGGATTTCTGCCAGTCATCGAGGGACATCTCACCCACTCCCCTGTAGGCCTCCATATTGATGGACAACTGGAACTGGGGCGCCCAATAGCCTTAGGACCAGCTTGCTTGATTTTCTGCCCTTTTCTAATGTTGAATTTACCACAATTCCCTTGGCACCCACAAGTTCTTTTCTTCCAGACGTGAATCACTTGCCATCTGATTTCCTTTTACGCTGGCAGGCATTTGGGTGGTCATTTCCCCTGCTGCTCCTCTCTGCTCTGCCCTCCCGGCCCAGCCTCCATTTCTCCAGCTGTGCAAACAGGGTGGGGCCCTGACTCTGTAAGTAGGAAGTGGAGCTGCTCCCGAGGCCTTCTGTGTGAACCTTACACTCTAGAGAACAGGAAGATATCCATCTCCTGTTCTCTGAAAACTCTTAGGATGGAGGAGCCAGGGAGCCAGCTTTAGTGCTGGGAGACAGGGTCCACCACGCTCCAGTTCAAACCTCAGGGCCAGGAAGGGAGGCGAGTTAGGGAGCAGGAGCCACTTGAGTGTTCCCACCTCAGAGGTGCTGGCCCCATTTAGCAGTTGAGCTACACACCCGCCCCTATGGGGGGGGGCAGGGGCTGAGGTGGTGAAATTCCAGTGCTTGGCCAAATCTGCCACCTTCCATAGCAAAAGCCCCCCACACACCGAATTTTTCTTGGGGGCCCAAATACTTCCTGTTCCTTCAGAGGGAAAAAAGGAGCCTCTTCTTGGTGCATCTTCGCTGCTAATGGGTATAGCAGACCCTGGGTGGAAACATGATCTGTGTGAAGAACCATTTCCCCAAACCCTGGCAGTGGACCACATTAGTCAGACCTGGCTATGAACTTGGGCTGGGGGCCGCGTAGCCAGGCTGAATTGAATGTTTCCTTGTGTTCTGTCTCTGCTCTACCTCTCTCTCCCACACACGGAAAGCGCTCATCATGGATAAATATTTTTAAAAGCACCTCCTGCCTGCGCAGCTAGAGGAGGCCCGGAAGATGCAAAGCTAGACACCCAGAGGGTAAAGGGGAGGTGAACCATGTGTAGCTCTCAGTTTAGCCCTGGACCACCTTGCAGATATGTGCTATCAATCACATGCGGGGTGGGGGGAGCACTTGGCAGGCTGTGATTGCCTAGGATTTGCCCAATGCAAACCCACTCCCTATTAGGAAGATAAGTCCAAGTTCATATCCCAGAGGCTGGGGAGGGGAAAGGGGCGAAGAGGGCTGATGATAGTCAAACTAGCCTATTCAAAGAGCCCCCCAGGATAATTACTTACTGATTATTTTATTCCTAGTGTTCCTGAATTGCTTGGGGTGGGGTGGAGGGCCAAATACAGTCTAGATAGGAGGACATAATCAGCAATTGTAGGGCCCAGCCCAGCTTGTGGTCTCCCTTCAACTTCCTGCCTAACTCCTGTGCCACCAAGGCTTCCACCCGTCTTCCTCCCAACTTGTGGTTTCTTTATTAACTTTATTTATTTATTTGTTATGGTAAATATATATGTAACAAAACAGTATATGTAACAATGCCATTTCAGCAATTTTCACACATATAATTCAGTGACATTAATTATAGTCAGCGAAAAAGAGAAAGACCCTGAAGGAGATGAATTGACACTGACTGTGATGATGGGCTCAAGCATGGCAATGATTGTGAGGATGGTGCAGGACCAGGCAGTGTTTCCTCCTGTTGCACACAGGGTCAATGTGAGTCGAAAGCGACTCAATGATACCTAATAGCAACTACAATTATGTTCATCATGGTGTTCAGCCACCAACTTGTGATTTCTTGTGATGTTTCCATTCCCTGAGCACTCACTCCTTGGCTCCTGGCAGTGGCTTGACAGCCCTCGGACTCCTAGGAATCCCCTCCCCCCCTCAAAAAGTCTCCAGCTCCCCACAGCCCTTTCAGAATTCACTATTCTAGTGTGAAATTTAAGACTTGATATTCCGGTGGTTTGATTTATTAGTATCCTGTAGGATCGCGACAAGTCAGAATCAACTCCATGGCGGTGGGTTTGGTTTTGGTTTTGGTTTTTGCAGCCTGTTAGTTAAATAAACAAATGGCGGGTTTGTTTGAAATTGAAGGAGAAGAATCTGTGGCTTGCTAAGTTCCCTTCTTATTAGCCAAAAATGGTCTCCCAAAGCTCAACAGGGCTGGGAGGGGAAGCCAAGAGCCGAGCGCAGTCTCCCCTGGAAAATAAATGCCTGTTCTGGCAGAATCTACAGAACACTATGTGGGTCTCGCTGGGAGCGAGGCAGGGGCTGAGGGGAGAGGATATTTGTTTGACAAACATATATATTTTTTAATTTTAAAACAGCTTTTTAAGTTTTTATACAGTGAACACTGTGAGAACCAGAACTTGACAGGACTGCCTTGTTTTTCGGGGTCTCACAAGTTTTCCACCTTTGACAGGGTAAAGTCTTATCACTTTGCTGTCTCTCCTTTTAGTGGAAAATATTTGAATTTTCCTTCTCTGACAAGTTTCCGACTTACACATTTTCCGGCTTTCACAGGCTTTCATGAATATTTATTTATTTCCTCATTTAGGATCATGCATTTCATTTAGTTGACATATCTGTTTAATATTGTTTTGTTTTTTGGTAGCAAAGATACACATAACAAAACATTTACCAATTCAAGATTTTTTACATGTACAATTCAATGACATTGGTTATGTTCATCATCTCGTGCAACCATCACCACTCTCCATTCAGCTCCATTAACAGAAACTCAGTACCTGTTGACTAATGACTCCCTCTTTCCTCCTCCCTGGTAACCAGTAACAAACTCTGGTCTCTATGTATTGGCCTATTTCATGTAAGTGTGGTCATGTGATATTTGTCCTTTTGTGACTGATTATTTTACCCAGCATGCTTTCAAGGCTCACTCCTGTCATAGCATGTACCGGAACTTGATTTCCCTTTATGCTGAGTAGTATTCCATTGTATCTATGTACATTGTATCTCTTGATCTATTCCTCTGTTGATGGACATTTAGGCTGTTTGTACCTTTTGGCTATTGTGAACAGGGCTTCAGTGAACATTGGTGTACAGGTTTCTGTTTGTGTGAGTGTTTTCATGTCTTCTGGGTTTATACCTAGGACTGGGATTTCTGGGTCATATGGTAGTTCTGCCTTTTGATTTTGATTACAGAAATGATATAAGTTCCTTGTAGAAAAATTGGAAAATACAAAAGAAGGAAATGAAAACCACACCCAATCCCACCACCCAGAGATGATCATTGATAAGCATGTACTGTAATTCCTTCCAGTGTTTTTTCTAGGCACAATTATACCTCTCTATCACTGCCTACAATATAGTTTTTTGCTGACTATAAAAAATGCATACTCGTGGTTAAAGTTTCAGGGTACACAAAACTATATGAATAATAAAATAAAAATTGCAGGGACTCCATTCCGCTTTCTCATGCTGATGGTTTCCCTCATCCAGGATGATTGTCTTTGTTCTGTCCAAGGCTTAATAAAAGTGTCTCTCACTCACTCACTGCCGTCAAGTTGGATCCAACTCATAGCGACCCCTCCTTCGGTTTCCGAGGTGGTATCGCTATGGAGTAGATTGCCCACCCTTCTTTCTAAGGAGTGGCTGGCGGGTTTGAACCAAATAGCCTTCTGGTTAGCAGTCAAGTGCCTTAGGCACTACGTGGCCAGAACTACCACAATTCCACTATCCTGAGACAACTACTGCTAATATGTTGGTGCCATTCCTTTCAATCTTTTCCACCTAAGTGAGATCATATAATATGTATTGTTCTATATACTTTAACTTTGTATTTCATTGTGTAGATTTTCTCAAGTCAATAAGTCTGAAACATGATTTGTAACAGCTCTGTAGTCATTGTGTGGAAGAACCATAATTTACCTTTTTGCTTTTCAGGAGAGACAGGATTGGGCAAGTCCACGCTCATGGACACCCTGTTCAACACAAAGTTCGAGGGAGAGCCAGCTACCCACACGCAACCGGGTGTCCAGCTGCGGTCCAATACCTATGACCTTCAAGAGAGCAATGTGGGGCTAAAGCTCACAATTGTTAGCACTGTGGGCTTTGGGGACCAGATCAACAAAGAGGACAGGTAAGGAAGACGATGGGGTGGGAAGGCTGGTGGTAGGCCACAGAGAGGAGCTCACCATGGGGTCTTGGAGAGACACAGATGTTGGAGTCCACCTTATACCTCTTCTTGGAATGGCATGGGTAGGCAGCAGGTACCTCACAAGCACTGCCTCCACCCAGGATCCCTATCTATGGGAACTGTTTTACTCCACACACTTTGCCAAAAGAAGGGTGTCTTTCAAATACACCTGGATGGGGTCTTAGTTCAATTCAGCAAGCATTTATGGCTCCTGCTGTGTGCCAGGGACTGCTGTTCTCTGACAATCTAAAAATGAATGACTTAGGTTTAGACTCAGCCCTTGAGGCACTCACTGGTTTTAAGCAAATAATCCCTATACAGTGTGATATGGTTTTTTTTTTTCCCCATTTTTATTTATTTTTTTTAATTTTTATTTTTGCAGTTTTGCCTCCCCTCACCTCACACCCCTGATAACCTACAAAGAAAGTTTCCTTCCATATATAAACCTTTCCTTGACTTTTTACAATAATGAACTAATATACTATATTTGCCCTTCTGAGATTGACTTATTTCACTCTGATTAATGTCCT